TTAAAATAAAGAATTGGTTTATATACTGATGCCATAGGCCTCAAATGCTAAAGATTATTACATTAACCAAATAATCACTGTAGCAAAGACGGAAATAACAGAAAGGCCTTGTGGTGCTTTCTGCAAAGATCTGACAGCCAAACAGTTGCTACTGCTCCTCTAGCATCAGCTGAGTTGGTGGGATGTCCTGTTGATCAAGGAGTAACCTATAGATACTGTACTGGCAGAAGCATGCTAAAAGAGACATATGAGATTAGCTCCACAGGAAATGCTTAGTCTAGTTTTATGTCCATCCTTAAAAAAGTGTCATAAAGGACTGAAAATTCTCAATGCTCCCACCCTACATGCTGGTAATAACAGATGTTCCAGAAGGAAAAGGAGTAGTATAGAACAGAACTGGGGCAGAAATCTAGAGCTGTGAGTTAAGCAACTGCAAGTGCAGTAAAAAGGTCATAGCTCAGTTAATGTTACTATGGCTGTGGAGCAAGCCCAAAGAGAGCAAAGCTGTTTGGTGTCTCACCTTTCTCCTCAAATGGGGAAATGCCCACACTGCTGCATGTCAACACTGTTCACCTCCCTCCCCCAGCTACTGAACTCATGACTCTTGGTACCTTCAACAGCTGTGGCAATTTTTGCTTGTACGGTATTAATCACATAGTTTTGTATGCTAAGCACAGCTTAGCACAGCACTTGAACTGTAGTTATGTTCTTGGTTGGTTGTTTTGAAGAGTTAAACCTAGCATTTGTAGCAAGTATTCAGATTATGACGTATACTAACCCTAATTCCGGTCCAAAGGGATGAGGGGTAGAGTTTGTAATGTGTATATATTCAAACTGTTGGGGCTTTCTTGATCATGTATTTTGTAGAAACAAAGTGTGAAGTCTGCAATCAGCATGTGCTCAGACTGTTGTCATATTAACCTCGATAGTCTTGTCCACAGGGATGAGAAGGTGAAGTTTGTGATAAATATATATTCAGGCTGTGTTACCATTAATCCCAATACCTAGTCCCCAGGGGAAAGGGGTTTTTAACAGGTAACACATTGCCCAGACTGAGCTGATGACTCCCACCATCTAGTTCCCAGGGAGGAGTGGGTGGAATTTTACTACGCTTATGCACACATTGTTGCACTATTAACTATTGTAGTCTGGTCAAGGGTGGGGTCTGTGTATATATGGGTGTATATCCAAACTGTGCTGTTAATCCCTTTAGCACAGTGCTCAGGATGGAGGAGAGACATTTTACTGCGTGTGCTGCTAGAGTATTAATCCCTACTGTCTGGTCCAAAGGGGGTAAGAGTGGAGTTTATAACTGATGTACATTATGACTGTGATGATCAGAAATAGTTCACAATGGACTGACATTCAAAGAGAGTTCTTCAATATCCGCCTTGCAGAGGTAAGGAGTGACGTTTGGGCCATAAATTGCTGGGCTTGCTCTGTTTTTGTGTGAGTGCCAAATTAGTAAATGCATGAGCACTGAATAAATTACTGCATGAGTGCCCAGTTAATTTATGCATGAATGCCCAATTAATTTTTGCATAAGCATCCAATCAGTTCATGCATGCATGCCCAAATTATTTATGTCCAAACATCCTGTTAGTACATGCATGAGTGCCCAATATGCATGAGCACTCAGTTAATACACATGAGCACCCACATGTATGGTAGAGTTCAGGTGGCAAGGGCTGTCGGTGCAACCGCTGTGGGAGAAGGCCACGATCTGCATCACGGCAGTCACCATGGCTTTGAAAATGGTGTGAGCCACCAAAACTTCAGCCAGTCAGGGCAGCACATGACACCTCTGCTCTGACCCATACCAAAGCGGGGACAGCTGGCAAGGGACTGTGGCCTGTGGTCAATCCACAGTGGAGCAGAAAGGAGTGGCAGACAGAAACCACTACACATATGACCACAATGTCCTGTGCCACCCCTTTTATCACTGAAGGAGCTGTGACCAACTGAGTGTGAGCTGTGGCAAAAGTAAGGGGACTTGAGACATGGCAGGGCCAAGAAAGGTGCCTGGCTTAAGTGCAGCCTGGAAAAGGGGGAGGAAAGGTGTATACTTACCTGTTTGGTTAACTACCCAGCAGTGGTTAGAAGTTTGAGTTAGCTGGCAATAAATGAAACAAAGAAAAAAATCCCCAAACTGAGACTGTTTTGCCACCAACAAATGCCTACACAGAGGCCATGTATGGATGCTCTGGCTTGAGCTGGGATACAAATAATTTTCTTCCTAGTTGTTGGTAGAGTGCTGTTTTGGATTTAGGATGAAAATAATGTTGCTAACACACTGATGTTTTAGTTGTGCTAAGCAGTGCCTACTCTAAATCAAGGATTTTTGTCTTCCTCACACCATCCCACCAGCAAGTAGGCTGGGGGCCACAAAAAGTTGGGAGGAGTCACAACCAGGACAGCTGATCCAAACTGGTCAAAGGGATACTCCATACCATATGGCAGCATGCTCAGTATATAGCTAGGGAGGAAAGCTGGACAGGGCTAGGGAAGCGGCTATGCATCGGTTGGCAAGCAGTGAACAATTGTGTTTCACTTGTTTTGCATATTATTATTGTTGCTGCTATTATTGTTATCCTTTTCTGTCCTACTAAACCGTTTTTATGTTAACCCACGAATTTTACTAATTTTTTCCCCCATTCTCTCTCCCATCCCCCTGGGAGATGGAGTGAGCGAGGGGCTGTGTGGTGAGTTAAACCATGACAATGGATTACATGGGCTGTCACAAAAGCTGGCACACTTGGCAGAGGGCTGCATAAGCAAAAAAGCAGGAACTGCTGAGGATTTTGCAGCTCTGACATCTCTCCCACAGTTATGACTCAAAACTAACCCCTTCTCAGGAAGAAAGGTGAAGACAGCGGCTGGAAAAGGTGTGCTCACATGTTCCCAGCAGAGACTCTGTGTCTCTCACCAGCCACTAAATGATGAGTAGAATGGTAGAACAATTTGCTCCAGACTTTTTGCACAGGGTTCAGTTTGCAGTGCACCCCCTGGCCAGCTCAAGGCTGCTGCTGGCATGGAGGGATGTGCATGGTGAGTGGGAATCCTGGCAGGATGGATGGGATGGAGCACATGTGATGGTGCTATGACAGTCCAGCAAAACATGGGTCAGGCTGCCCCAGCATGAGGCAATGTTATCAGTGGGACATTTAAGAAATGCAGAAACTGGGGGTAGGTCCTCCAGGCTATCATTTGGGATACAGACCAAGATGATAAGTAGCAGCTAGTGCTATTCTGTCCCTGTGGCCCAAACTTCACCCTGCAGTTAATATAAAATGCCCAAACTCAGCTTAGTAGCAGCTGTGAATTGCTGAGTGACCACAGGAGAACTGCAGCGTTCACGGAAAACCAGTGAACTCTCAGAAGGGTTAACAAAAGCAAATTGTCTCTAACTGAACACTACTGCATGTGGTCTCAGTTCCTGCTTGTCTTATTTCTTTCCTTTCATGAAAGAAACTTTTAAATTGCCTTTTAGATATTCCCAGCTCTGATCCATATTCCTCATGGAAGGAGGCAAAAATGTAAAAACAAACCGATATATAAATGACATAAAACTGGGTACTGCACAGATTTCATACAGAATTAAATGGGATCAGCCTGACATATTCGTTACAAAAACAATTACTCTCATGACTTTATTCCCTGCTACAGTCATCTCACCTTACCTGTCAATTTTAATGTAACTGTTGCTGCAGGCTCAGGTTCTCCAGCCAACATGTGTCATTTTGAAAAGATGAAGTTAAGTGACATGTACCTGGTTCTGCATGGGGCTGAGCACACTGAGCTCCCTGCTGCTTGAACAAAATACTCTGAGTTCCCAGGCTCTTTTAAAGGCAAAACAGCTTACTGGGGTCACTGGTACAGACTTACAGCTGGACTTTTAAAATGCATATAAAGGAACCCCACTGATTTGACCTGTTTGGGTCAAGTCTGGGGTATCCAACATTTAAAATGCTAAGAACTCTTTTGGTTCAAGTTTGCCATAAGCTAAACTAGTAAGTGACTAAACGTCCTTTAACTTTTCCTATAAGAGCAATCACCTCTTCAATGCCCAGCACATTCACAGTGCTGGATAACTAACAGTTGCTATTTTTAAACCACTACGACACTCATGCTGGGACAGGCCAAGCAAGACCAAGACCACGGCTGGTATGGATAGCCAGCTTTGTGTCATGGCTACAATGTGAAGATGATGAGAATCTGCACCTTCAACAGTTAACAGCCAAGGTTTACTGATTCATGTCTGGAGCTGTTCTATCTAGCAGTAGACTGGGAGATTTCTTCTATGTTACCTTTTGGTGGCAGAAAAACGCAGTCTGTCAACAGGGACTAGAAATTTCATATTGTGCTCTGGTTCCCTAGTTGCTGAGGTTTCAGAACTTGATCCCCAGGGGACTCTCAAATCAAAATCAAATTTTGATACAAATCAAAATCCAGCTATGGACCAAGCAGAATTTGTATAGTATTGCCCATAATGAATGTCTAGACTGAGCCAAATACAGTGCCTTTCTGTACATCCTTTAGTCCTACAAGACAGAATACTTGCACTTTATCTCATTTTTAAGGGGGACCAGTGTCAATTAGTTCTACCACTGGCAATAAATTTTGTTGCCAGATCACACCTAACTAGGTGGGAGCAGAATTTAAGACCTGCCTTAGTTCTTTAGCCCATTGCTACAGCACGTTTCTCAAACTTTTCCTGCAACTTTCACCAGCTCTATGGAGGCCAAGCTCTAAATGACTGTGCTGCACTGAGATCCATGCAGCATGCCTGGGCTGCTCTGTGATCTCTCAGGGAGCTGCTATTAGCTCACACCTGATCAGCATCAGGCCTTTCCCACATCAGGCCTTTCCCACACTACAGATGACTCAAGTACATGGTAGCAAAGGACAAGAAATTATCATTCAGATAAAAGGTTGCCAGCACCACTGTGTAACTGGCAGCTGCCACTTTTAAATTCTGAGATACCTAGTAGTGCTTACCACTCAGACCATTTGTTCAGGGGCTTTGATGACAAGCAGATTGACTAGGGTGAAAATTAAAAAAGAGCCCCAAACCTGTCCACTGCTGCTGGCAACTGGCATATGAACCCAGAGTAAATCAAAGCTCAGAGGTATGCAAAACATCCTTCTTTTCTGAAAGTGCACCCTTTCAGCTGTCTCAGACACAGATGGCCTCTTGAGCAGTTCTTTCTTCTGCAAACAGACAGTTGTGCTTGAAAGCAAAAGCACTGCATAGGTTACCCAGAGACATACTAGATGCCCCATCCCTGGAAACACTTATGGACCCAATGCTGGGGTGCAGAACAGGAGGTGGGATCAAAGAGATTTCTCTAGCACGGTATCTGGGATTGCTTTGGTCCTACCAGCTTTTCTCTGTGTCAAAGTGTGAATTCCATTTTGTATTGTGGATCCCATTCTGCTTTACATTCTGCATTGTCACCTTCACAGTGGTGCAACTCTTACCCGTGGTAGCAGCTGGACATGTTGGGAAAAACCTGTATGCTGGAGTAGTTGTAGCAGATGACGCCAACAAAACCCATCAATCCTGAGTATCTGGCTGGAACAGCAGGTAGGGTTACTGTCTCTGAGACTCTTGCATATAGCAGTTTACCAGATGGGACCAGAGCCTGAATCTACACCAGCAGAGATGAACCAAAAGGGATCCTCAATAAACCAATGTATACTGTAAGATAGGAAACATTCACTAACAAAGTATGTAAGAACCATGTTGTCCAAGGGCAGTGACTGTATCTGCCACTCTTAAAAGACACAGAGATTTTCTGGGGTCATCTGCTTTAGCAATGGACAATAGATTCCTTTGCATGGCCTGTCTTTCTTTCCTCTCCCCTGAGGGTTTTAGCTCAAAATCCAAGTTCCTGCATGCTTCATGACCTGAGGCTACTCTGGTGCTCTGTTACCCATAAGAAGGGGTGGGAACACTGTACAGCAGGCTTCTGCTGCCTAAGAAGACTGTCCAACAAACACAGGAGGGAGTCCTGGGGCTGCTGCCAGTGACTGAGGGTGCTTTGGAGGTCCTCCACCCTCACTGTACCCTTACAGCTGTAACTCAACTCTATGCTTAGGCAACCTCAGATAGGCTTTGCCAATTCACCAGGCACACACTTTTAGTGAACAGAAGGGAGCATGTGAGCTAGCTGGGAACCCATACACCAACAGGACACCCAACCTGGACAAGCAGAGGGACAGAAACCACAGCCTGGTATGCCATGTTCCAGCGTTTAGTTCATACATATCCTGAGAGACCTGTAAGTCAGAACAGTGCTTAATGATGTCCCAGACCACACAGCTACGTGCTGCAGTGACAGCCCACCACACTGGCTGCAAACGAGTGAACATTGCTGCTCTCAGCTAGCCACCCCCAGCTCTTGCTCCCGGTCTCCCTCTTGATGTCATCCCTCCCTCAGACCTGCTGTCGTAAGTGTAGGCAACACCTTCTTAAATGGGAGTAGAGGCATGGGCCTGTTTCCAACAGTTGCCTTTTGCACAATTCTGCTCCAGAAGTTCCTACATGGATAGCTCACTGCAATTGTTTCCTGTGTGGAATTCATACCTGTATTCAGCAACCCCTCCTGCATGCTTCTTCATGGCTGTATCAGAGCTCATTCCATAGAAGAGTTTCACCTTCTTGCCATTCTTTTCCATAATCTCTCCAGCACACTGGTCATGGCCTGCAAACATTCCTCCAAGCATGACAAAGTCAGCACCGGCTCCTGTAATCAGCAAAGTGACACATAAGAAAGCAGGGAAAGGAGAAGAGGGTGAAAGACAAAGCAAGAGCACAGTGATCTCCAAAAACAATAGCCAGCCCTAAATAGTCTGGTACAGAAAGTCCCCTCCTGTGACAGACACAGAAAACTTGGAAGAAAAGCTTTGCTGAAGAACTGACACATGCTGAATTGTGCTTCTCTGGTATTTCAAATGGAAATAATGCTTTTCTGTTGTGATTGCAATGGTATAGATTATTCTACTCCACCCCACACTCTTTATTTTCAAAATGAGTTTTAACCCTTTACTTCATAATGGTATCTGAGCACAGTTCCTTATAAACTACTACTGTGACTGCAGTAATCAGAAGTCCTAAACACAGGGCTGGGACCTGCTGAGCTCAACACTGCATAGAGAAGAGGACAGCTCCTACTTCAAGAGCTTTCTAGGCTGCAAGCTGTGAGTGGGAATGTACCCTGAAGACAGGCATACTTGTGAATGTAATGTACTCCTCCCAACACTGACAAAAAACAAGCAGATTTTTAATGAAATTATGGATTTTTCAAGTCCAGCAGCCATATGTTGTATAGTTCCAGGTGACACCTTGTCAAATAGATCTGTATAGGTTTGCATTTGGTTCCTGTTTAAAAACTCTGGGCCAAGGACCACCAGCCCTGGGTTCTGTGGTTCTCAGCATGTACCACAAAGGAGGTCTAACCCATAGCTACAAGTCCTAAATATGTTTCAGATACTGAATAGCAACACTGAATACTCAATTATGACTGTTCTATCTCCTCTGGCTTTGTAAATTATGAAATGGGTTCCACTGGGAGTAAGATCAGGAAGACGTTTTTTGGAATCACTCTTGAATTTCTACTGTGATCTCCAATATTTCCAGCTGGGCTGGAACTATTCCACCAGCAGCTCCTCCTGTGATATTTTGACATATCTAGCCTTGCTTGGAAAAGTTTGTCTCTTAGTCTTTTATGAGCCTGTGGTGACCCATCCCTGAAACAAAGCATTTTCCTGTTCAGGCTCTGTGCTTCTTCAATGTGTATGTGCTACAACAGGCCTTCCCTCTGCTCAGCTTCTTTCCAGAACTGGGAAAAGAACACAGCTATAAACCTCACTTCATAGAAAGCAGATGAATATGTACTGAAAACTCCCTGAACATATCTGAACTCTGGGGAGATCTCAGGCTAGGTAAGTCTGACATTAGGATTTGCTCTGATCTCTGTCACTATCCAAACAATAGCACCAGACCTTGAAATCTAAAAAGTAAGTGAAATCATTATCAAATCTGCTCAGATTCTGCCAAATCTGAATTTGGGAATATTCTGATCTTAGAACACATGACACTGTGCAGTGTGCCAATTCCCTCCCTCCACCCCTTTGCCAAAGAGCAGACCTAGCAGCAACGCCTGGGAGCAAAGCACTCAGCTGCTCTGCTGACCTCACCTCCCTTTGCCTGGTTGTTGCCTGAAAGGAACAGTATGTCCATGGTAAAGGGATATTAAAAATGAGACTGGTGCAAAATTGCTGAGCGCGTTTTATTTATCACAAGCAATATTTATAGCCAGGCACCCATTCAGGTGTCCTATCATGCCAGCTACCTGGCAGATTTTTCCTGAGCTCCCGTTTCAGATGGCTGAGTTTTAAAGTCTCGGTTTGACTCACATCTGATACCACTATTAACCTGCCAAAAATGAAGGGAACACTCATCTTTTAAGACATCCTTAATTACTGGTGGCAAATTCCTGTTGCTGCCTGGCATAGCCTTGCTGCATCTTTGCAAAATATAAGTACCCTGGGAAATCTAGTTTATGTCTTCTTCATGGGTGGAAGAAAACAACATGAGGAAGGAGGGACAAATTTGAGGTCAAGGTTTCAGAGGGCGTTTAAACAAGTCCAAGGCCTCCCAAAGGACATTCAGGAAGCTTTGCCTTGTCAATACTAATCCCCTGATCCACAATTGTAGTCCTGTCTCTGGCTGTAGGTCTCACAGCCTCCAAATTATTAATACAAAACAGTCACATAAAATCTACTCTTTGGAATCACAGAATTTTGGTTCCTGTGCACTTCAGTATCTTTATTATTTTCCTTTTGACTGCGTATTTTGGGAGGAAAGCAAATATGTTTGAATTACAGGATTGAAACTCATCCAACTTGAGTAACTTTTGCAAACTACAACATAATTCATCAAGCTCTTCTAGAAGAGAGGAGCTATGTTACAGCAGATGCAGCACGTCTAAACATTGAAATGACACATGCTTGCTGCCCTGCAGCTCCAGAAATGACAAGCCCATATTAAATATACTTTTCCAGTGCTCTCCAGAACCTTCCACTGTGCTTTAGTGTTGCAAAGATAGCTGAAAGCTTCAAGTCTGTTCCACTACTTTTCTACCTGTTAATATCCGACCAGGAGGCTGCAGTTTGTAGCATGGTCTTTCTTAACTTATGCATGTTTTTCTGCATAACCACCAGAAGCACTGGTGATGTTTCCAACATCCATCTGCAGTCTTTTGTTTTCAAGTACAGATTGACAATGTGCCATCACTTTAGATTCTGGGGGATTTGGAACACCTGGCAACAACCCCCTAGATAATATACGATGTGATGGGGTACATTGCACACAAGCATCCCAGTAGCTGGCCCAGAGTTTGGTAGACTCATCCTGTTTCCATACAATGCCACTTTAAGGCACTGACTTTCCCCTTGAGGCCTTTGCTCTATCTGGGCTGATTTTTCTCATTCAGTGCCTTCTCTTTCAAGCCATTACAGAACATGTGTGCTGACGCCAGCCCAAACTTGTAGCAGTCACACAGTTCTGCTGGATCTGGATAGAGTCCCTCAGATGTCTTTTGTATGCCTGATTATACAAGTTACTGATAACCACATTGGCTCTGCACAAATTCAGCTGGAGTCAGCCTGGATTTGTAGGCTGGGCAGCCCTCCAGGCAGATGCAGTTTAAGTTTGCCTGAACCAGAGCTGGCCCAGGAATCAACATTCACCTGTGCTCCAGCTGAGCCAACAAGCCTTTGCAACAGTAGGTATACACACACAGCTATTGAAAACAGGAGAAAAAAGCCAGTGTGACCTGTCAGGTATAATTTGGAACCAGTGTATGTCCCTGGTTGACTTTTCCACATGATTCTCTCCTTCCTGCTCCTGCATCTCTTCTCACCAATGCAGTAAGGAACAGCAGTAATGTGTTAAAGATGCTGGCACAGGATTCAAACGGCACATTCTTTCCTGGCTGTGTCACAAAAATATATGTGACCTCAGGCAATTGAACTCAGTATTTCTGTGCTTTGACTTCTCATCGTTAAAAAAGGAGACAGTAGTGCCTCTCTGGGGCTTTCTGAAAAATGTGTTCATGTTATCAGCCTTTCCAAGGGTGCAGTTATATGAACCATCTGAGAGCCCAACACAAAGTTCTTTTGTGCTTGCTCTCCTTGCTGCATCAAAGCAGGTCTTTTCTTCCCTAACAACCTACATCTTTTCCATTATTATCTCTAATATCCAAATGGCAGTGACATCTTCAGTTTACCAAATCCATACCAGGTTCCCTTCCAGGAGTCTTCCCCCAAAGTATCGTCACTCCCAGCCATTTTTGCTCCTCACCTTCAGTGCTTCCCTGTTCCTTGCCTCTTTAAATAGGCTTCTACGTCTGCCAAAATGCCCAACCTGCCTCTCACTCCTGACATCAGTCAATGGTGTGATCTTCCATGGTGTAAAGCCATCTACTTCATGGTTCTTCACAATTCTCCACTTGCACTCAATCCACTCCACTCCTCCTGTTTCCATGAACTTGTCTCCCCAAGTCACATCTTTGGCCATTTGTCAATGACAGTCTTCACACCTGGGACTCCCTCATACTTCCTGTGATTCCAATAACTGCTTTGTCATTGCTTTGTAGTGAATCATCCTGTTTCATGAGAATTTCATAATGATCCACCAGAAAAAGAGAGTATAATCACTTTAACCAAAAGGCCTCTTCAGGCCTCTTGCCCATGCTTTGTCCAGGCCTTCGTCCCCACGTGAAACTGTACATCTGTATGTTTTATCACCTGGTCTTTGCTATCTAATCTATTTATCTAACTCCTCCCCATGAGAGGCTCTTGGCAAGTGCAAAGGTCTGTGCTAGACAATTTAGTATCAAGACTTTGACTTGTAAATGCTGGGCATGGCAGCTACCTTCTATGAGGCTCACATAGCCAATCACCTCAATAGCATTCAATAAACACTGTTAGTGCTGATGTTATCTCAAAGCTTACTTTGCCACACACCTTTGACACATGCACGCCTGGCTCCAGCTAGTCAGATGTCCATACTGTGTCTACCTCAACTGTACATAACCAGACATAGTAAGTTTATTGCCTCAGGGTCATCTCAATCAGTTCCAGCCCTGTACTGTGACACACAGTCTGTCTGGTCTACTACAAAGAGTACTGCTACTGCCAGTATAATCTCAATTTTCTGATCCTCCCCTGTCCGAGGTACAATCCATGGTAGCCTTCAGACATGTACCACTGTGAATCCCAGCACCTCTTGACAATCAGCAAGGCCAGAATCTGCCCTTTCACAGGTTTCAAGCAGGTTTAGGCTCAGTTAGCTCAAAAAGGATCCTTCAGACTTGTTATAAACACCACAAAGAAAAACATTTGGAACACTTTGAAGTTGTTTCCTGTTGTTCTAACTTCTGGAAATGCTCTTGTTGAAGAAAGACCTTTTCCACAGGCCATGTTTCTGTGCAGCAGCTGGGAATGCAGCAAGGTCACAATTTCAGTTTATAAACTCCCAATGACACCACCATCAGTAGGAACCTGGCGAGCTGTGGAGTTGGAGAAAGTCAGGCAGAACAAGGACCTCACTGCAGGCAGCATGTCAGAGTGGGCTGTACTGAGGTGAGGTTGGGTGTTTTCTAACACAATCTTGTTGTCAAAGAGGGAAGATGCCACTGTTCAGACGTGCTGGAATCACCTAACTAGAAGTATCAATTCCCCACATCACATCACTGCTGGGTAACACAAGGGTAATGTGAAATCCTCTGACCAAGCGCATTCCTTGCTGGTAGCAAACACTCTACAGCTGTGCTTAAAACTATCTAATTAAGTCTTCCTTGTCATCTGACCTGTCTCAAAACAGGAGCTGCCTGCAAACTTAGAAGGCAGATTTTGGTTTCAACCTCTCCAGGACGTCCAGAGTTTTTCTTGGCAAGTCTGTAATCTGAGGTTAGGCCTGCCCCTATTTTCTATACTTACAAAGCTTCCCACGAAGCAGACATGCACAATGTGCTATTTCTTGTTATCGTACCACCCTGGAATCCCAATGAGAGACTGTGGTGTCCTAATGTACCCCAGGTATTACCCCACTGTGACATCTCCAAAGAGCCTGGCATTTTTTGGGGAGGGGGTGGGAGTACCTTTAAACGTCCTGTCATCTTAGGATGTGTTTAGTGCCTGGTTCACATATGTTGCCACCACAAGGTTATGGCTAAGTGATAATCATAAGCTTGACCCCCCCACGCCAATGTAACTTTCATGCCCAACAGACAATACTCACAGATTAAATTCCCTATTCTATCACCAAGAGCTGGTACAATTCACTGAAGCTACTGGCATGAAAGCAAAATCTGTTAATTATTAACTTAGATGTTTTAGACATCTGCCTAGCTCTAGGGGATACAATATAAATAAAATCTCATCTCTTCAAGTGGACAGCTGATCCCAAGAACATCTCCAGGGATCTGGCCTGCCTTTTTGTTTTGTTCTTCAGTCCAACATGCATTCCACCAGCTCTTCTTCCATTCTAGGCTCAAGTCAGACAGACCTGGCAATGTTACAGGTATCTTCGAACCGTACTCGGAAGAAACCCTTACCAGTTTTCTTTGTATTACTGTCCCAGTGACTGAATCTCATACACACTTGACAGAAAATTTCTAAGTATCACTTCAACTACACTGCATTTTACAGTGCAGAATTTGGACTGCCAGGTCCAAAGAGCAAAGTGATATGTGGTGCATAATTTTCACCAGAGTCACCCATAGGGACGAATGTAACCTACTGCTAATCGATTATACATTCAGGGTCAAACTGCCTCCTGCATCCCTGCTGACAAGGGCTCTGGACACACACAGGGTGTAACGGGGAGCACTTGAGACACTGCTCTTACCAAACGCTTTGGCGACATCTCCTGGGCAGCTGCATCCTCCGTCCTGCACAAAGAAAAGACGACAGTGAGTGGCAGCGACCTCACTCAGGGACCCAGTGAGCACTGGAGCTCGGTGACCTGCAGCAGAATGGCCCCTGCTCAGGAATAGCGTGTCAAGAGCTGACCATGCGCTTGGTATATATCATCTTAGCTAAGTTCTTAGAGAATCCATATGATCCTTTCCATTGCTTTCCTCCTTTAGGGTCATTTAGTCTACTGATAATACCACTGGTAACAGCAGCAATGCAAATTCCTAACTGCAATTTCCTAAATCCCAGAAACCAGAAAACAACATCTCCTGTGATGACCTGAATCATCCTCTTGCCATTTTAATGAAAGTCTGTGTGATGCAGAGGTACCACAAACCCCTACCTTAAACCGCCAAAAGACATTAAAAATAACTTTCTCAGCAGTTTACAATACATTAAAAGGTCACAGTGGGAGGAGTGAGGGAACACATCATCAGCTATGTCGGATTTTTATCTGATAATCTCTAAGAAAACTGGGCAATCTAATCTTTGGTAAGTGAAAATCTCTCATCCTAATCGCTCATTCTAACCCCTCACTGTTTGCTATGGGTTTGGTAAGGAAATAACAGCACTTTAGATCTTTCGCATTTTAGACCTACATGTTTCAGTTTCGGAGTCAAGCAAAGAAGTGGTTGATAAAGGGGTTTCAGTTGAGGGAAGTTATGTATGTGATAGAGCTGTATAAAAGGAATGGCATGTAGCAGAGCTCATCATGTGCTATGGTTCTTTTGGGTTTGTAAAGCTCTGAGCATCAGATGAAAGATCCTTCTACTCCACACAGTCATTGTATCAGGAGGGCTCCCCATTCCTTTGATGATCAGGGTATCTTGCAGACTGCCAACAGCTTTCCTTCTTTTGAAGCTACCCCTCAGACTGCATGGTTACTTGGTTTTGTTTCACCTCCCTGTTGGCAGCAACACCTGCCCGTGTATGACCTGCATCTCGGCACAGCCAGACATCCCCACCAGCAGCCAGGTTAGGGCTGCCTTTCGCAAGGAGCTGGCAGCAGGACTGTGGGTTACAAGCTCTCTGCGCATGGAAAAGGATTCAGATGCAAACTGAGCAGGTGGATCTGAAAGCGAGTGGTTTTTCAAAGAGCATCCCACTGCAAACAGCACCTGGTAGAGCTTTAAAGGCTCTTATTCCATTTGCTGATAACCTCTAGCACATTATGTCTTTTGTTGAGCTTAGACACCCTTGCTGTCAGCTCCAGAAAGGAGTGCTGGGCTGACAGCTGAATCTCTCTCTCTCCTGCTAAGGGCTCTGCTTGTGCAATTCTTTCCCACTGACAAGTCTGTCAGAGCCTGGAGGAGGGTGTGAGTGTGTGTGCATGCGTCAGGGGAGGAAGAGCCGAGGTAGAAAGAAGGGCCTAATAATCTTCAAAGAGCAGTGTCAGGAATCTGCCTGACGCTTATTGTGTGACTGAGAGACACTGGCTATGAATGCTCTCTGGTAAATGGGTTTCAGTCTGTTGTTGGGTGGCTCAGTGTCTCACTTTTGTAAGTAACCCAGTAGTGGCAGTGATGGAGGCTTTACACTTTCAGAAGTACCATGGGGATGGGGGCCTTAGTGTGTAATCATTAATCATCGGTTTCAAAAAATATCACTCTGAATCTCACCAAATTACAAAATGCTGAGCAGCTTAAGAGACTTTCCCAAAAGCTCATGAGTTACCATTTAAGATAAAAGGAACTGATGATGATTCACAGCACTTCTTTATCTGTAGATGTCTCCACTTATTTCACATAAGCAGGTAAAATTAGTGATTCACAGAAAAGGAAACAAAAAGGGAACATACTACGCAGTTATATCTAAAGATGCTATACAGTAAAGCTATATGCATTTAAAAACTTCATTCTATGTGAAAAAATCTGGTGTTCTGCTTAGAAAAATAAGACTGCCCTGCTGTTGCATTGCCTGGGAAGCTTTCCCTTGCAATTCAGCTTGTCTCACACAGGGGCCTGGGTCTGGACTCAAATGACTTGCAGACTGCTGGCCTTCAGTGAGCTTGTTGCAGTCTCAGCCTCTACCTCAGAACCCTGGTGATATTTATCTGTACGAATCTGGCTTTGAATTCAGAACAGGCATCATTCTGAAGTAAGCCTACTGGAGAGGGTGCCCATAGGGCCTGTAGAGGGCGTGATTCTGAGCCAACTGGGTGCTAGGAAGGAGCGGAGAAAGCAGATTTCCAGACAACAGAATTATTTTAATGTGGCTAAAACAATGTTGTTGTCCCCACTCTTGTTCTCCAGACAGAGAAGCCATTTTACAGCAATAAAATTTAGCCCCAGGAAAAAAAATACAGTATGGAAAACCAGTATGCACTGGTAGAACATTTAATATTATATGCAATTTATGAATTTATAACTACGATTTATGTTTCAAGCAACAGTATAACCAGTGCTTTGTACAGTATCAGTGATACTCAGATAGCTCTTTATTATGCAGAAGATATGTAACATATATAGCATATACTGCAGTAGGAACTTTAGTCTGAGCTACATATACTAGGCATATTTCTGTGTGGAGGAAGAGATGTTATGGCAGTAGCTGGGTAAAGAAGCCCTTAGTCATTCTTTTCACTGTATGTCAGTGGCCCATCACCCAGACAGGGTAAAGGGGAAACAGGGATCTCTTTCAAATGATAGCCAAATGAAAGAGGACACATGCAAGGCTGCTTTCCATTCCCCACATTGCTGGCTTACTAGAATACGTGACTGTCTTTCTGCCCAGCAGAGCAGTTCTCTGACCTACAAGAAACAGAAACTTTATCTCAAGCAGGGCATTGCTGAAGGAGCTCTCCTGCTAAATGGCCACTCCACTGTAACTCACTGCTGCACTTTCTCAAGGCCAATGGATTAGCAAGAATGAAAATTGAAACTATTGGCTCCCGGACAAACAACATGGGACAAAAACAGTGCCTGTATCTTGGAGTTTCCTCTCTTCTTTCAGTGAGTCATGGAAGATTAATTTCTGAGGTCAGCTTTGAGTCTTACAGATAATTTAGCATCGGGAAAGTTAACTGGTGCGATTTTACCGCCCCATTCTCTGTGTAAGTGAATCTAGACAGACACCAAGCGTTCGATTGGACTATCATGTTTGCATGAAAATTGTCACCTTCTCTGTGAACCTATCAGCTCTAAAAATCACAATCACTTCCGTACCATGAACGTTTAAAATCCCAGTCTGTGCACCCATCCTAGCGGAGCTACTGAAGAACAGCGTTCAATTGTGCTGCGTTCCTTGCAGGGCCTGTACTGTGCTCAACATCATCACTTTCTCATTCCAAGAGTGAGACTTCTTTCCCATTATATGGAAGTTGAGCCAATGTAACAAGAAAGTGCAGCAGTTCTGTCCTGGGCTGCAGTGTGGAGGTAGCCAATAGTATGTATTCTTGTCTCCACAAGCTGTTAAAGCAAGTGGGGCAGTGATCGTTATCTCCTCATCCCTGATGGCTCCCTCTGGGGGCTGTCTCTGTTTAACGGGCTGCCTGGAGCCCAGGCATGCATAGAGTTACATCGTCCCATTGTGAGATGCTCCACCCCGGGGGCGGGGGAGGGAAGGGGGGGAAGCCAAGCATTCCTACATG